ACACAGGTGGAAGAGAGAAAATGGAGTAAAGAAAAGGCTAGAGTAACAAACTTTCACGTTTCTCCAATAACCTAGAGGGTCCCCGGTAGAGGTGGCAAATGGATTGGATTGGTGGATTGATGGATTGGATTGGTGGATCCATGGATCAAATGGATTGGATCTAATGGATTGGTGGATTCATGGATTGGATCAAGTGGATTGGTGGATTATCCATGAATCCAAATGACATCCTCAACCAAGGACCAATATGTAAAATGTAAAAAGTTTAGGTACTAAAATGTCATAATGAAAAATTTTAGGTACCAAAACGTAATTTTCCAATGATATTTTTCGTATAAAAAATTAAATTTTAGGTACCAAAATGTAAAAAGTAAAAATTATAGGTACTAAACCGTAATTTGCCAATGATCCATGGATCCAATCCATGAATCCACCAATCCAATTGGATTTGGATTAAATGGATTGGATTTAAATGGATTGGATTAGGTGGATATTTTTAATGGATTGATGGATTGGATTGGTGGATTGGATTGAAATTGCCACCTCTAGTACCCGGCAACGGTGCCAAAAACTTGACACACTAAAACTCAACACCAAACTGCGACCAAGTGTAATCAGAGTCCGGAAATGCAGTAAAGTGGCAAGTTCTAATTATCAACCCGGGGTGTAGATCTACTGCCTACTCCGTGAATATCTATTATCTTCCAAACTAAGTCGATGGATTGTTGTTTTAACTAAAAGCAGTAAGAAAGCAGGAAATGATTCGGTTTTCTAAAGCAAAGGAAGAGTCACTCGGGAGTGAGTCCCCCTAGCTCCTTATTTAGGTCTCAGTTGCAATTACCCTGGGTTCATTTACTGTTGATTAAACTGCGGAAGATCCGACAAATGACATTTCTTGCTGTCTCCCCACTAATACGTGGTTCGAAAATGAAAACAATATCAGGATGAGTAGTCGCGCAAAAAGATGACAAGAATGCTACAAACTGATCATTTCCTACCCCTTTGCAGTTCCATGAAAGTATGTCTAACGTCAATATAAATAAAATCAAGAAGAGGAAGGAGAGAAACTCCATGACGTCCGGCTAGCTGGAAGTATCATGCCTTTAACACGGAGGGAGTGGAGTTTCTCCCTGATCTTTTACACCCTGTTCCAGGTTAGCTTTGCTTGAAAAACACTAGGACTTGTTTCCAATTCCTCCCGGTTGCTGGGGCGTATGACCCACCTCCTCTAGGGCTGTCACTCCCATAGTACGATGCCCAGAAGTGGACATTGGGTTGGTCACCCCATTGCAATTGGGTACGTTCGATATCATTTCCGCCTAGGTGGGCTTCATGACTAACGTATCCGGGGTAGAAGCCAAATTGATCGGAACATTCACCAGATTGGTGCCTGTAAAGGAAACCAAATACTTGGGAGCTTCCGACCTCTTGTTCCCTTTCGGAATCCCTTCCTGATTCGCCTTTTCAACTTTCTCTTTCGTTCCTTGGCATTTTTTTAGCTGTTGTGGCACTGGTCGTATTGAAAATCACCGCATGGGAAGGTTGCGTAGGTTGAGTTTCCATTTCCTCTGCCTCTTCTTCCTCCACCTCTAGTACTTGGAACCTCGAGCCCGATTTTTTAGTGATAAAATTAGTCTGTTGCTTATTACTCGCTTCCTAGTTACGACATTTTTTGGGCTTGGCCACATAATAAAGAGAAACCAAAAGTACGTAGGTGAGAATAGGTAGGGGACTTCCCAAGAAGAATTTCAAAGGGCGTCTTCTTGTCGGGCAAAATCGAGGATGGGAGACGGTTGATCAAGTAGGTAACGGTCAGAACACATTCACCCCAGAAACGATGCTTCCGTTCGACTACTCCATTTTGTTGTGGAGTGTGAACACATTAAGTCTGAAAAACCATCCCATGTTTCGCATAATAACTGCAAAGGGTGTAAGTTTGGAATTCCAAACCATTATCTGCCTGAATCCGACGTACTTGACGCTGAAATTGAGTAATAACCATATGGCAAAACGCGAGAAGACAACGCTCAACATCAGACTTATATTTAAGTAAATAAACCCACGTAGCTCTGCTAAAAACATCCACCACGGTCACAAAATAGTGAGAACCATCCAGAGAAGGGGTCTTATAACCACCTCAAATATCCACGTGAATTAAATCAGAACAAGCCTGTGTCATAATAGTACTGGTAGGAAAAACTGTGCGCGATTGTTTAGCACGCCAACAAGAGTCACAATGAGACTTGGATAGCCCAAGTATCCTGCATTCTAAAACATCTCGCAACACTGCTACTTTCTCCAAAGACGGATGCCCAAGCCTTCGATTCCACAAGTAGTCCCGGCCTGCCTCTGCCGTAGCAAACACTATAGGAATCGGGCGGTTGGCGTGAGAAGTGGGGTTCATCCGCTGCAGGTAGAATAATCCATCACGAAGGCGACCCAGTCCCATCACTATCCTGGAACGTGAGTCCTGGATCACAGAAATGTCAGTTAAGAATAGTAAAGCCACGTTATGATCCTGTGTAAGACGACTAACTGACAAGAGATTGCATTTGAATTCAGGAACACGTAACACACGCTTCAAAGTAATGTGATCACTGAGAGCTGCCGTTCCGATGCCTGTGACTGGAATACTAGTGCCATTCGGAATACGAACAGAAGAATAATTCCCAAAAGTATTAAGACTAGACAACCAACCAGCGTCTCTAACAATGTGCTCGTTGCAACCAGAATCGATAAGTCAGGTATAGAGTTCAGTTGTGTTACCAGCAAAGTTAGCAGTGGGAATGGTAGTTGAAGGAATCGGAGTCGGTGCACTGAGAAACTGTTTCAGGTGAGCAAATTGAACGCTAGTCAGTCCCGGAATAGGACTATCTTCGACGCTGACATGTGCTGCAGTAGGGAGGGCTCACTTGATGATTTGCAAGCCGCCACGGTCGACACCTGATCAAGCTTTGCCCCGCGCAGAAGGATATCCGATCAGTTTGAAGCATAGGTCCTTCGTATGCCCCAGTTTCCGACAGTGACTGCAACGGGGCTTGTCATCGACCTCCTTCTTGCCTCCAGCATGAAACGTGGCCGCATCAACAGCCGGACGACGACCTGCCGTGAGTTGGCGTTGCTACTCCTCCACTGCCACCATATGGTATGCATCAGCTAGGGAAGGACTCAAACAAAGACCAAGAATTTGGGTCCAAACGACGACGAAGGATTCATCCAGCCCAAGGAGAAAATCAAAAAGCCTATCAGTTTCAAGCTTGGCGCGCGTCTGCTCGGCGATGTCGCAAGAACAGCCGCTGCAGGTATTCTTGTGATTGATGCTGACCACCTGAAGTTCATCCTAGTAAGTCTGTAGCTTGGTGTAGAAAACACTCACGGATTGCTTATCTTGACGAAAAGAACTGATGAGACTGCGGAACTCATACGCCCGCCCTACTGAGCTCGTTCTAAACCTTTGTTAATTAACCAAATGTCCCTCGCCATCTTAACTCCTCGAACACTATTGCGCACCTCCTTGTTTATCGCGGTTTTGATCCAGCCTTTAAGAAGGGCATCGACACGATCCCAGGCATCGAGGTGGACCACTTAGGTTCCCACGGCTGAAAGCGCCAGCAACCCATTGACAAACGCGAGTTTGTTCTTGGCGATGAGCATTTCTGTCATATCGCTCACCCATTCACCATAATTGAGATGCGTCAAGGGATGACCGCCAAATAGCTGGCCCGGATTCTCTGAAGGATGCGAGTAGAGTGGTGAGGCGAGAGGAATGATGTCGACGCCAGCAACCAAGTCCTTGGATCGCTCGTAGAACTCTTCTCGTCACCAATATTCACAACAATCGTCGGTGTAGATCGATTATAGCTTTGATACCATGTAAAATCGGATAAACGCGAAAGTAAAGAAGACTAAGATTTACGTGGTTTCCCCGTCAATTGACGGGACTAGTCCACGGTGAGGGTGACCTCAAGTAGTTTTTCACTATCGATGGGAGAATAGAAATCTGTCCCGAGAGTTACAGCTGCTAGCCGCATAAGGACATCTCTTATGAGCTAGGGAAAAGATACGAGAAAAGGGAAATTACATAATAATCCCCCAAATAAACAAAACATGCAAACGGAAAGGAAATATAAATACATGTCAACACCAAGAGGGCTAGAATTGTAGCGTATAATGCTTTCCTTGGCCTAACAATTGAGAGGATGGTTTCTAACCATTGTTGCACCTCCTACGGTTAGCAATTATCTTGTCGCACACTGATTCATTGGATCCCACGGTTCATGGTAGTTAGTTAGGGAGAAGCAACTCCCGAGTGAAGCTTCTCACCAAGAGTTTCAATCATTTTTACTTTTCGAGTCTTGCTTTTCAATAGTAGATTGTAGAGATTTTCACAAACAACATTCCGCTAGATAATGTTTCAAACAATTGAAGTAGGAGTACATGGGTCGGCCCGAGTTGATATTTAAACATACTTGCCCTATATTGCACCCATTTAAGGTTTATACTTGGGGCTTACGTGGGATTTTAGTGTGATATTCAGGGTGAGTCAGACATCGCAAATACGAGCACAAACGTGACTCTCTACTATGTTTGTCAATGACAAATAAAGACAAAATGTAATCTCACAATCCCAGATGATGTATGAGCGTAGTCGCAACTCTCTCTGTCAATGACATGCAAATGCAAGCACGAGTGTGACTACCTACTACGTTTTCAATGACAAACATAATTAGACGCAATCGTGATATGCAAACTCGCGACGGTTGACAATCAACGACGGACGAGTATGATAGCCGAGTGGGGCCAACGTAAAAATCACCGTGTCACGACTTGTACCAAATAAAGAGAAATACCAGTACGGAAATGGAATGTAAGATCAATGATAAGAGTGACGTTCATCAATAAAAAAAAAAGATAACAAAAATGAAATGCGGAGATCCACTCGCACAGTGTTTAGTACAAGCAAAACACAAAAAGAACGAAGAAACTAGGCAGTGTTAGCATCAACAAACGCCTTCCCAGTAGCCCCAACAGTCCCATCTTCCTCTGTTTCGCTCTCTGAGTCGGCATAAATCGATCTTTTTGTCAGCAAAGACATGCTGACCATGGCTAACCACGTCACGTGTGTTCCAGCGCATCCGAGGGTTCTCGGGCCTAACTTTAACGGCTACACTAACTCTAACGGTCAAAGAATTGTCTGTCTTTATAGTCCCAGGCACACGCGCATCAGAAGTGTCAGAACCGTCTTCAATCTGGAGAGAATCCTCATTGAGGCGGCTTCCCCCTACCACAGAACAAACTTCTCCGAGATTCTCTTCACCGTCATTCCGGGTAGCCATTTCATCGGAGGAGCTACGAAAAAACTCACTCCCCCCGCGACTTGACAGCCAGGATTCGCCGAAGACCACCACTAGTACACCTAACAATCAACTAGTGTGGGCCCCGGCCAGTTGGCCGGAGGAAAGTAGGATGGCAATAGGTCGGGTTGGGTCGGGTTTTGCCAAATTCAAATCCAAATTCATGGGTTTATCCGTGAAAAAAATTCGGGGTAAAATCCACTGGGTTTGAAAAACTCAAACCCAACTCAACCCCCTGGGTATCCGCGGGTTCATGGGTACCCACAGGTTTTTGTCTTAAAAAATTTACAATAACAAGTTGCTATCAAAATTAAAGTCAAATATCAATCTCTCAATACAAATTATCCATATATAAAATACCATTCTAGAAAATTCAAGCAAATAACAAATTATCCATAAATAACATGATTAATTAAAAGCTTCTTCCTTTCAATTAAGTTTCTTCACTCTCCACTCGATAACATCAACTTCATTCTACACAATTAAAAAGAAAAAATTAGACATGTCTCCACAAACATAAATAAGATAAGTTGTTTAGAATATTAAATATATCGAGAAAATTAATTATATGGGTGTGGGCGGGTACCCATGGGTCGGGTTTACCTAAACCCAAACCCAACCCGATGAATATTGAACGGGTTTAAACCCAAACCCGGCCCAAAACCCGTCAACACGGATTTTACCCGCGTTGACCGAGTTGGGTAGGGTGGGTACCCGTGGGTTCGGATTTTGTTTTCATCCCTAGAGGAAGGTGAGGTATGAAATTTGATAATGTAATGGGGTGTATAACTTATTGTTGTATAGTTTTTTTGGGAAACACGTGATAAAAATAGTGAATTTTAGCAGGAAAGAGACATTAATGATGCAACAAATCAAAAATCGGCCTTATGAACCAAAATCAAGTACCTGTTACCTTGTGAAACAATATTGTTTCTGGTAATATGATGAGGTGGAGTAAGTTTTATAGAAACTGAATTCCAGAAAATTGAATAAAAAATCGCCTATCCCGTCGGTTTTCGGGAAATGAGCATCTCACAATCGTTGCTAGCTTTTACTCGGCCCGTTGGCCGATTAATTTGGTTTATAAAACTTTCATCTTGTCGTCATTGTGCTTTCTGGTTTTTTTCAGGCTATGATAAAATCTAAGGAAATAAAGAACGAACAACACGATTTGGGATAGGAACCGTCGTTGTCGTATCCCTAGAAAATGGTGGTAAACACGGACTCACCTGCCAAACTGGTTTGGATTGAGATTTTTATCGGGTATCAGGGAACCATGTGATTATAAATTAGACTTGATCAAAAGGGGCCAAAACTTGAAATGCAGCCTGTTTGACCGACCCATGCCAAATTCTAATTATTCTTTACTTTTAAACTTTTTATTTGAAAATAAAAAACAGTGAAAGAAAAGAGATGACTGCCATTTGCACATCACTTATTCGGGAATAAAACCATAGAAATTCAAAAGGAACTGAAAATGTTAGGATCGTTTTAATGTTTAAAATAACCAAATAGATCTTTCTGTTTAGTTTTTTACTAACAAATACCAAACGATTCCCTATAAAATACACTATGATTTGATCATTATGATATCAAATAATTATATAATATATATTTGAAATGATAAAAATTGGACTAATTGGGTTGGTCGAGGTTGAACCATTCAATAACTTTAAAATACATTATATTTTAGCCACTAAGATATAAAATAATAGCATAATATATTATGCTAGAGAAAATAGCTTGTTTTAGAATGTCAAACCAATGATGTTCATTTGTTTTACTTGATGGCCAAATCCCGTGTAGGTCAAACCAATTCAACTCTTTTATTTTATGGTTAGCGGTTAGCCCATTAGATACCATGCATTAGTTTATTGTTAAATTTTTTATTTTTAGCAATAAAAAGAAGTATTGTTTTTGCCTCTTCATATATATATTTTATCACCACGGAGAAATAAAAGGGCTTAATGAAAAAATTGACACTCTTGAACCCGTTTAAATCCGCATGTGTACGGTAAGTTGGCCCGTTCCACAGAGGAAAGAGGAAAAAATTGACACTCCCTATTCTATCATTCCTACAAACGCTCCTGGAGCAGGAAATTTGAAATGGGGGAAGGATTTTTTCCTCTCTGCTATTATATCTTTTTAATTTAAAAAGATGCAACAAATGTACTTAGTGTGATTGGTTATGATCCTTAATTTTCCTTAAAATGATCATGGTTCGAATCCCACTACGTGTCTTTTTAATGAATTAAAAAAAGTAAGTGTGAAGACCAAAATGTCCTTCCTACTTTCACTCTCGTTGCAGGAAATTTGAAATGGGGCTCCCGTTTTTCCCTTCGGTGTATTATATTATGTGTAGAGTCGGGTTGGTGACTCTGGTTACTGGTTGGGTCATGTTTGGTTGACTAATTTTGGTTAAAATATTGACTCAACCCATTTGGTTTCGGGTCGGGTTACAAGTCATCTTGGGTTATGAGCTCTCTTAGAAACAATATCAAACATGCTTCAAATTTTCTTAAAGAACAAAAATTTTCACATATGCATGACAATAGTTTACCTAACACATGTAAATTAACATATTCTCAAATCCTCCCACAATAATGAAATAAAATAGAAATGCGCAAATCGTCAAAAAAAAAAAATCACAAGAGTAATACTACTACAAGAAACACATGATATTTTATTATCCTTAAACTCCAAACATGTCATTCAAATTCTTGTAATTTTTTTTTTACATCTCACAAATTTATGAGTGGTTTTATCAATTTGGGAGTGATATATAAAATGGAACGGGTCTAACGGGTCAACTCGCTAAACCACCCATCCCAACCCAAAAAATCACAAGTTATCGGGTTTGGGTCATTTGGATTTCAGGTTATAAAGATTTCTACTTTTCTGGAAGTTTCGGGTCGGGTCAACGGGTCCGGTTGTAATTTGTTAGATCTAACCACTAGACGTCGATGGATCTCTCCCTTCTTCTAAACCCCTAGTATCAATGGAAAAGTTAGACCAGTCATTACCTTCTTCATCGATTTCGACCACTTTCATAGAAAAAATCTTCTTCTCCACAACCATCGAGAAAATGAAATGACCAGAAATGAGATCAAAGTGGTCCAAAGTGAGGAGAAGCAATGAGAGGAAGAGAATCTCAAAGAGAAGAGAAAACAATACTCGATTAAACCTCATTTCCCCCCTTTTTATAACGGGGAAGAGGAACTCAATCGACGCACGAAACCTTGGAACCACTGCCAACCTATCAAATTAGAGGATTCGAAATTCAAATCCACCGCCCAAACAAGAGGCTCGCACAGCAACATGTGTCCACCTCACGTTGAACCACGAACACAAACAAAGTAACTGACCCCACGTTTTCCAAGCGGGCTCATCTGGGGGAAAACCTACCCCTCGTAAAAAATACAAGACCTAATGCCTCCAACAAACGTTATCAAATGCAAACAATTACCACCAAACATGACCAACAAATATACCAACCAGGGGGCAACACTTTAAGGATAAATAAACGCGCGATGCAACACATGGGGTGGCAACTGCGAAATACTTGTAGCCAACAAACGCAATTGAAAGCAAACATGACCATCGAATACTCCAACCGGGGCCAACACTTCGAGGGTGGACAAATGTGGGATACAACATGGAAACCAAAAATCAGAAATAGCAATGGCGGGAATTCAAAGAGAAGCAGAAGAACCCAACGGAGTGCAATTTTAAGACAAACGCAGGAGGCAACCACAGATTACCTCTTCCTTGCGGGCAATTGTTGGGGTATTGTGCCTGAAGAGGGCCCAATAGCGCGGAAATTATGCACCACATGTCGTGGAAGCATACTCTGCTACCGCGATAATGCTAGACATGTACCACAAGTGCGAAAGAACCACCTCGGGAACACGCGCATTTGTCTCGAGACACTCGTCCTGTCACATTAAATGCTCACCTTACGATTGTGAGTTATAAATACAGCATTTACTCCATCAAAGAAGGGACCATATTTTCTCCCACTAGAGACCAATTGTAACTTAAACCTATCTCTAGAAACACTCTCTCTTCACATTTCTTATAACTCCCTGTTCATTGAATAAAAGACATTCTTGATCCTCTCTGTTCCATGTCTGACTCCTACTCACCAGTCTTACACAAAAAATTACGTAAAAGGATTGTCCATTACGTAAGGATTTCGTAACGACATTTAACAATTGCGATGACGTAAAATAAGTATATGTCACGTAACAATTATGTAATTCCTATTGTATTTCATGTAATGCGACCCGTAAAACATGATATACTAGGTAACTTGAGTTTGAGAATATGATAGTTGGTTGGGACAATGTGTGGTCCCTGAGTTATTGAATTGAGTAATAATCAAGCTAGAAGTCTGATTCATTTGAATTATGGATTAAAAGAATGTTGATTAGTGAATTGGGGAAGTGATTGGTAATCTAATGTGGAAATTTATATATTGATCTATCTCGAATTGGGTTTGAAATCTATGCTACCCATGTGCTTGGTACTCGAATAAACTTTTATAAACCATCAACATCGAATAAAGCCGCTATGTGGGTGCACCATTGGTTCAACCCATGAGTTTTAGGGAGGGTTGTTAAAGAAACTACCTTCCAAATCGTCTATTAACGATAATATATGACTCGACTCAAACTACAAATCCCAATCGATGGCCAAGGATAACCGACGACAGAGTGTAGCATAGGGTAAGCAAGTAATAAATTTATCGTACCACGGGGATCTAAGCTAACCTTACTTCACGTTTAGGGTTTGTTATCTAGCCAACCAAGGATAGTGATTAAAAAAATTGAACTAACTAACCTAGGAATCACTAACATAGCTATTTACAAGGTTGGAGCTCTCTTATGTTTGAATCCTCCTAATTCCGTCATTTGGAACGATGTTGAGTACCATCCTAGGTCGATCATCTCAATTACACTACCGTTAGGGGATAGACTCCC